CAGGTGGGTGAACCCAGGAGCAAGAGGGACACAGAAGCCCATGCACAATCATTTTTCTCTCTCATTGCTCTCTCTTGAGCTCTCCTTCTTACTGTACATTTGCACTACTTTCTGCTGTACCAACGCTGTTATCTCTGATAAAACAATAATATATGAATCAAATTCAGAAAAGTCACAGTGGGAAATTTTTCATAAGCCAGTTAGCCACGGTACATCCCTGCATTAAGCAAGGCAGGTTAACTAGATAAGCTTTGAGTCTTTCAGAGAAGCAGCATCAAAGCAGATAACTAATTTGTAAAGATATGCAATTTCTCACCACAAAAGCAGATGCAAATTCACAAAACCACAATGATAATTAATTCACAGTTTTCATAAGATGCAACCTATCTGGTTGTTGCATTTATATTCTCCCAATACAGTAACACAAACACCTAGGAGAAAGAAACGTGACTTTCATTAATGGCGTTCACACCTATTAAGGGCAACTAGTTAAGTCAACGGGCTTTGGTACTGAATTAATGTGATTCAAATTAACAGTTACTCAGAAAACAACAATATCAAAAAACATTTTACTGCAGTGGAAAAGAAAGCACACATTATATGCTTCAGTTGCATACAATCTGTTCAGCTGTATAGTTCAACACAATTCAAACAAAATTACAGCTTGCAAACCAGGTATCGCTGCTGCCTCCGAGCAGACATTCTTCCGAAGGGACTTCCTCTTCTTCCATTAGAATGGCTCAAGGAAGGGAGGGACAGAACTAAGTCAATCCCTGAGTCACTAGATAATACAAATCCCTACCTCACACACACAAAAATAACTATCTGAAAGTAATTTTATTATTTAGTAAAAAAAAAAAAAAAAAAAAAAAAAGCTAATAACTTAGTTTACCTACTAAAGCTGCTGATAATCATGAGCCAACTTTGTGAATACCTGCACAGATGAGAAGACCTAATCATTCGGCTGAGACCACTCATGGGAAAGACACAAGAGGATGAGGCCAGGAATCACCTAGCTAAGTAAAGTTAGCGACACTACAATAACTTGTAAATAATCAATGATAATTCTCCAAATAAATAAATACTTTGGGACACAGAATGTCTGGTTTCAAGTTGTTCTTACAGGTGAACAACACAGAATCCAGAAATGGTTGAGATTCGAATTCTAAGGAAATTCTAAGGAAATTGAGTGGATTGTGATATTGTGACAATAAATATGACGTTTCTTTAAAATGAGATGATACGAAAAATGGATGACAAAGGACATCCAGTTTAGTGCAGAAGTTTCATACCAGAATGTCCTACTTACTGCAGTAGAAACACATCTCAAGTTCAACATACTTATAAATCTTCGCAGGAGACTTGGACAGACTGGAGAGCTGGGCCAAGAGGAACCTGATGAGGCTCAACAAGAGTAAGTGCAGAGTCCTGCACCTGGGCAGGAGTAATAAAATGCACTAGTACAGGTTAGGAGGTGATCTGCTAGAGAGCAGCTCTGCGGAGAGTCCTGGTGGACAACAAGTTGTCCATGGGACAGCAGTGTGCCCTTGTGGACAGGAAGGCAAATGGTATCCTGGGGTGCATTAAGAAAAGCATGTCCAGCAGAACAAGGGAGGTCCTGCTCCCCCTCTACTCTGCCCTGGTGACACCTCACCTGGAGTATAGTGTCCAGTTCTGGGCTCCCCGTTTCAAGAGGGACAGAAAGAGAGTCTACTTGAGAGAGTCCAGCGAAGGGCTACAATAAAAATTTGTGGGACTGGAACGCCTGCTGTATGAGGAGAGGCTGAGACCTGGGGCTTTTTAGTCTGGGGAAGAGAAGACTTAGGGGGGATCTAATTAATGTGTATAAATACATGAGCGCTGGGTGTCAAGAGTGAAGGGGCAATCTCTCCTCACTTATGCCCTGACACGGGGCAACAGACACAAGCTGGAGCACAGGAATTTCCACCTCAACATGAGGAAGAACTTCTTTACTGTAAGGGTTCCAGAGCACTGGAACAGGCTCCCCAGGGAGGTTGTGGAGTCTCCTTCCTTGGAGACTTTTAAGACCTGTCTGGATGCATTCCTGTGTGACCTGCCCTAGACTAGACGGTCCTGCTCTGGCAGA